GAGGAGATGGAGGAGAAGGAGGAGGAGGAGGAGGAGAAGCAGAAGTAAATAATTTACATAAATAATGGCATTTTTTTTTTAATTGATGAAAACCTGATCTACAAATGCAATAAACTCAACAAAATCTAGGTAGGAACAAAGACACATTATAATCAAACTGTCAAATGACAAAAACAAAGAGAGACTCTTGAAAGCAGCAAGAGAGTAGCAACTCATCATGTACAAAGGATAATCAACAGGCTCAGCCTGTAATCCCGCGCCTTTGAGAGGCTGAGGTGAGTGGATTGCCTAAGCCCGCGAGTTCGAGACCCGCCTGGGCAACTTGGTGAGAACTCATCTCTACAATAAATCAAAAAATAAGCCTGGCATGGTAGCACACGCCTGTAGTTTCAGCTACTTGGAAGGCTGAGGCAGAAGGATCGCTGGAGCCCAGCAGGTTGAGGCTGCGGTGGCCGGGAGCAGCCACTGCACTCCAGTCTGGGCGACAGAGAGACTCCAACTCAAAATAAATAAATAATAAATAAATAAAATAATAATAATATTAAATACTTAGCCAGGCATGGTGATAAATGCCTGTGGTCCCAGCCACTGAAGAGGGTGAGGTGTGAAGATCTCTTGAGCCAAAAAGTTCAAGGCTACAGTGCGCTATGGTTGCACTATTACACTCCAATTTGGATGACAGAGATCCTGTTGAAGAAGAAGGAGAAGAAGGAGGAGAGGGAGAGGGAGAGGAAGTGAAAGAAGAGGAGGAAAAGGAGGAGGACAGGGAAGAAGAGGAAGAGGAGGAGGAAAAGGAGGAGGAAGAGAAGAAGCAGCTCAAAGAAGCAGAAGAAGAAGGAGAAGAAGAAGAGGAGAAAGAAAGAAATGTTATAGAAGTCCATTAAGTTGAAATGGAAGAATGCTAGATAGTAACTTAAAGCCATATGATGATACAAAGACCTGAGAAAGGTAAATAAATGGGCAAATATAAAAACCAGTAGTGATAAAATTTTTGTCTATAACTTCACTTTTTAAATTTTTGACAGCATTTGGAAAGACAAATATGTTAAAATTATTGTGCTTTATATGAGTGTGTATACAATGCATAAATATATAATTTGTGACATTAATAACAAAATGGTAAGAACATAGAAATATAAAAGCAGAGTTTGTGTACGCAATTTAAGTCAAGTTGGTATTAATTCAGATTCGGTTGTTATAACTTTAGGAGGTTAAATATAACCTCCATGCTAACCACAAATATGTAGAGAAGAACATGAGAAAGAATCACAGCACATCACTGCAAAAATTCAACTAAACACACAAAAAAAGCAGTGATGGATGAAATGAGGGAGGGACAAAAAAGTTATAAAACCATCAAAAGACAAATAACAATGACAAATGTAAGTCCTTCCTTTTCACTAAGTATTTTAAATGTAAATGAATTAAACTCACAAACCAAAAGACAAAGATTGTAAGAATAGATAAACATACATGATCAAACTATTAGAGGACTACAAAAGACTTATTTAAATCTAAATACACAAGATAGTTGACACTTAAATAAAGGAAAAAAGACATTCCATAAAAATAGGAACCTAAAGAGAATTTGGGTGGTTATACTAAACACACACACACACACACACACACACACACACACACACACACTAGAGACTTTAAGCAAAAACTGTTATAACAGAATAACATGAGATATGAAAAAATAGTCAATACCCCAAGAAGATACAACAATTATAAATAAATATGCCTCAAAGAGTAGAGTTTCAAAATATATGAAACAAACACTGGAAGAATTGAAGGAATAAATAGATAGCTATACAACCAATACTTGAACACTTCAGTATTCTACTTTCCAAAAAAAAAAAAAATGGAGCAACCATAGAGTAAAATAAAAAGCATAGTGTACTTTAACAGCTTATAAACCAATTGGTTCTACAGACATTTACAGACCACTCTACTCAATAACAGTAGAATACACTTTTTTTTCCAAATGCAGGAACATTCCTTAGGTCGTACCTTATATAAGGCCAAAACAGTTATAGTAAATTTTTAAAGATTAAAATGATACAAAGTATCTTTTCCAATCGCAATGAAATGAAACTAGTAGCATACACGTATAATTTTTTTTTCCATTAAAACTAGGAGAAAAAACTAAAAACAAAAGAAAAACAAAAGGACATAAATTTGGGTAAGATGTGAATTAGGGAAGGTCAGGAGTAAAGTGCTATGGAGTGAATTGTGTTCCTCCAAAATTTTATGTTTGGAAGGCCTAACTCCCAATATGATGGTATTTGGAAAGGTATTTTTGGAAGACCATTAGGTTTAGAGGAGGTCATGAGAGTGGGCTGCTCATGATGAAATAAGTGCCCTTATAAGAAAAGAGATCAGAGAATTTGCTTTCTGTTGGCCACCTGCAAACGGAAAGACAGCTCTCACCAGAACTTGACCATGCCGGCACTCTGATCTCAGACTTCTAACATCCGGAATAAATATATCAAGATATATACACCAAAAATCCTCAAAAGCAATTAACAAACTAAAACTAGAAAAACATTACTATACACCATGATCAAGTGTAATTTATTTCAGGAAGGCAAAGTTGTTTTAATATCTGGAAATCATTAATATAATGTACTTAATTAATAGAATGACCAAAAATATAGTCATTTCAAAAGACACAGAATAAACATTTCACAAAACCCAATACCCATTTGTGATTTCTAAAAATACTACAGCTATTATCACACTTGAAACTACAACACAAATCTCCTTTCTACTTATATTTAAATATTTTACTAGAAGTTCTAACAAAAGCAATGCAAGATAATAAATTTAAAGCCTCTAGATTGAGAAGGTTAAAACAAAGCTCTCTTTTATTACAAAATAACCTTGTATGCAGAAAATGCTAGGAAATATACACATACACACACCAGGATTAGAATATACATTTTATTTTTTGCCAAATCACAAGATACAAGATCAGTTAAATATCTCTATACTACCAATGAAGACTCCAGAATGAAAATATGAAAATAAATCCATTCATATTAAAAACAAACAATAGGCATACATTTAATTAAAAGCATGAGACTCATACACTAGAAAACTATTAAATGTTGATGAGAGTAATTAAAGAAGATCTAACTAAAAAGATAGCTATATAATGATCATTAGAGTATTTAAAATTGTTAAAATGAAGATTATTTCCAAATTGATCTATAGAGTCAACATTATCCCTTTCTAAATTTAAGCACTCTTAGCAATTGATAAGCTGTTATAAAATGGCAATTCAAAGGACACCGAATTGCTAAATATGTAAAAAAAGAGGAACCAGTTACAGGACTTAGACTCTATGGTTTCAAAGTTTACTATAAATCTACAATATTTGAGTTACTTAGTATGGAGGCAGTAAAAGATATAATTCAAGGTCCAGAAATAAGCACTCATATTAATGACTGACTACTTATTGACAAAGGTGCAAGGTATCTCCTTAAGAAGCAAATGATAATGTTTTCAATAATTGATCCTGTTCCAATTAATCATACATATGCAAAAAGATTAATTTAGAATCATATTTTAAATCATTCTTAAGAATTAACTTAAATATGTCTCTGACTTTAATAACAGAACTAAAATTGTAAAACTTTGCAGGGAAACGTTATATGAGTGGAAAACATGTTCATGAGTGTGACTTTGGCAATAATTCCTTAGATATGACATAAAAAATTCAATCTCATAAAAATGAATACCTTCAGCTTCATACAAATTAAAAATTATTGTACTTCAAAAGTCATCATAGAAAAATAAAAAGATGAGCCAAAAAATGGAACAAACTTTCTGGTGAAAGATTTATATCTAGAATACATTAAAAATACTTAGAAATCGCTATCAAGAAGACAAAAGGAAATGGACAAAATATTTGAATAGACAATAGATGACACACATATGAAAAGATGCTTGACATCATTAGGGATTAAAAAAACACAAATTAAAAATGCAATGTGACAACAGTTTATATCCGCCAGAATAATTATAAACAAAAGGACAAAAACAAGTGTTACAAAGATATAGTGATTGAGACTATCATACATTCCTGTTGAGAATAGAAAAAGATGCAGCAACTTTGAAAAATAATTTGTTCATTGTGTAGATCTCACACCCTCAGCAAAGCACTGGATAAGACTATACAGTCCTTTTTAAAAATACGAAGTGACTAGAGATTTCAGTAAAATGTTTAACATTAAATGTCAGTGCCCCCCAAAAAGAAATAATAATGGCAGGGTCTCTGTTCAGAGTTAAAATCTTGAAATAAAGTTTTAATAACTTCAAAAGGAGGCAAAGAAGATTTTGCATTTACTTAAAAAGAATAAAAAAACTCTCAAGATGAATATAGGAATGCACATTGTGAAATTCCTAAATATCTTAAGAAAATTTCATATACTTGTAATGATACAGTTGGGAAGTTGCCCAAAAACCAGAGGGAAAAAAGATGAGAAGATAATGAAGTTGTTTCAGAATATCTAAATTCCAGATAATTGTAGTTCCATTTCATGAGGAAACCCTAAAAGAAATCAACGTCAGGAAAGATAACAAACACCCTCCTCCATCCCTAATATGAACCATTATTTTCTAGTGTATCAAAATATTTTAAGAGTAGGAAAACATTTTTTTCTTTTCAAAATAATATAAATAATGTCAAGCATGCTTTTTTAAATTTGAAAAAGTGCTACAGTGCATACAATAAGTATCTATAATCATTCTAAAACTATATGTAAATGATTTAAAAGTAGCAATTATTTTTATTTACATCATTATTTACAAAATTAAGGGTAAACATTTTATAGGAATTTGATTCTCAAATTACCCTGATGCTGATCTTGTAAAATGCATTAAGGAAGAGCCAAGGAAAAATTATTAGTTTTCTTCTGTCAAAAATGTATTCCAAATTATTTTTATAATCTCCTATTGCTTATATAAAGTGACATAACTCAAAATATACTTACCAATCTTTTTTCAATGACAACATGCATTTCTATATACTGAGATAACTCTTGTAGCTGAAAAATTTGACAAAATTTATGTCAAAATTAAATAATGACTTACATATTTTAGTGCATATAACTGCTACTAGTGAGCTCAATATTGAAAATTTTACATACATAAATAGAACCAGATAATATAAACAAAACTAGATATCAAGAAATTTTCAACTATTTCCTTTGTCACTTCTCTGCATCTAAACAACATTTAATTCACTAAGAAAAAAAATTTTCCTCTACCTTTCATTTTACATATTCTTATTGGTAGTGACCTACGCATCATATTCTGTTTTCTACATACATTACGAAATGTGTATAGCTGTATTAACTTAATTATGCTATGATTACTTTACTATGTGGTGTAATTTTGTGTACAATCCTGAAAGGGTTAAGAGACACATACCTGTGTTTAAGGGATGGGATTCCAATCTAAAGGCTAAAATTAATTATTGCATAAGTCTTCTCAGAAAAAAGTGTGAACAAGAGAAAGTCAAAATTATGGACTTTCTTAAACTAGATAAAACGTTTCAAGATGGAGATTCTGGATATGATATCAGACACTTAGATCATAGTGGTTAAATCAGACATGATGCCACACCTCATGGAGTTGAATTCTGGCTTAACTTTTCTGACTTATGCTGAAAATTGGGGATAAAATAATTATTGTTGTAACAATTATTAATAAAAATAATATCCATATTTATCACTATTGTTAGTAAAGGCAACCTAGAAGAAATGCACTAGGGAAAAACTTTAGGATAAGTTTTCCAAGCACTTAGATACGATTATGTATATAACTCAAAATATTTTATCGCAAAAATAGAAATACCGCCTAATTGCACTGAACAAATGTCTTGATGTAGAAAAGAGGGACTCAAACTTCAGAAACTGAGGAATATTTTATTATGCTTATTTAAATTTATCAACAGTTTTTTTTCTTTTTTTTCCAGGGGTATTTAATCCTTTAAAAGAGCAAAACAATCTCATTTCATTTAAAATATTTTTCTTAACATGTGAAAAAGCAGCATTGAAAAAGAAATAACAAAACTTGGATTTGAGTAGAGATCAGAAGTGATGGTTATGCAACTTAAAGGAAAAAAGATGCTGAAAAAGGTCAGTAAGACAAAGTTAGGGCTTATAGATCATTTTCCTAAGTGTAAAATTCTCTTTCCTTGCCTAAACTTAGGAGAATTGAAGGTTTTGTTTTCAAAAGGCAAATAGAATTTCCTTATTGTCTCACTTTTTCTTCATCATTTTCATCCAATCTCAGAATATTTTATTTATACAATTTTTTGTTTCATTGCTCTCAAGTCTCTGAATGAGATTACTTTACTGGATTTCAATATTGAGAGAAACACTATATTATAGGATTGGATGATTCAAAACTATCTGTTCTAATCAACACTAAGCATTGTTGTCTAACATACCCTGACATAATTTTTGCTCAGTTTCATCTTTGAGATTTGGATTGGTGATATTTCGCTTAATCATTCCTTCATTCATTTACTGAAAAATAATTTTGTTCAGAGAAAAAATAAGTTGTCCATTTTAGGTAAATAAAAAAAAAAATACAAGGGTGCAAAAGAGGATGCCAGGAAATATGTCTGTTGAAAAGGTGGGCAGGTGCCAGATTTCAAAAATCCTACATTGCCCTCTTATTAAGGGAAAGTAGCCTTAGGAGGAGATAAAAGTGCTTAGATATGTGATATATAAACATGACTCCAATTGCTGGAGGAAGGTAGCCTGACCAAATAAATACTAATGAATTGGATGTGAGCAGAAGGATCAAAGAAAACACTACTGGGCTGATACAGTTGCAATGTAGATGGAGTAAAGATTTAGATTTTAAAATGTCAAAGGTCATTGATAAGACTATTCAGGGAGTGGGAAGAGACATGAAGATGATGAATAGATGGATGGATAGAGAGATAGATAATAGCTAGATAATAGAAGAGATGATAGATAGAGAGGAGATAATAGATGATAGATAGATGAAAGTTGGATTGATAGATAGATAAGTAGATAATAGAAATAAATAGATGATAGAATAGATAAGTAGATAATAGATAGGTGTGTGTGTGTGTGTGTGTGTGTGCGTGTGTGTGTGTGTGTTTTAACTTGTACAACCAATATGTCCAATATGAAATCAATAACTCAGGAGAAAATCTGGATTGGAAGTGAATATCTGTAAGTCATAGTAGATAAAGTCATGGGAAAAAATATATAATAAAACCAACAAGCTAAACATGAGATATAACATAAGAAATATCAGTGTTTAAAATGTGAATGTATAAAGAAAAGCCAATAAGAGTGAATAAGAAGCAGGAGAGACTATTCTCACAGAAAGCAAAGTCAATAAAACATTCTAGGAAGTTTTTATTTTGCTTTTTAAAAATGCATCTTAATATTTTAAATGGCTGACTTAGCAATAGGTCACCACTGATTATTTTTGAAGAAAGAAACTGGAGTCTAGTGAAATGAGTAATTAATGAATGGCAGAAAATAAGAACAGCAGTACCACTTATTCTAGTATTTATCTTGTATATGAGGGAAAAAAAACTGCAGCTATATAACTAAGAAATTGTATTTTATATTTTTATTTTCAATATATTTTAGTATGAAGAGATATTATTTTCATAGAGTTTAGAAATTCAAAATATTAGAAAGAATAAAATTATTAATGGAATAAGGTCCTAGTATCAATCTATTTAGAATTAAAATAGGGCAGGGCTTGGTGGCTCAGTCTGTAATTCCAACAGTTTGGGAGGCCGAGGGGAGTGGATTGCCTGAGCCTGCGGGTTCAAGACCCACCCAGGCAACTTGGTGAGACCGTTTCTCTGCAATAAATAAAAAATTAGCCAGGTGTGGTAGCGCACGCCTGTAGTTCCGGATACTGGAAGGCCAAGGTGGAAGGATCATGGAAGCCCAGCAGGTCGAGGCTGCAGTGGCTGGGAACGTGCCACTGCACTCCAGTATGGGCAACAGCATGAGACTCCAACTCAAAAAAAAAAAAAAGAACTCAAGAAAGTGAAAATAATAGATATTCAAATGTAGGAATCAAAATTTTAATTCTGTAACTAGAAGGAGGAAAGAAAGGCAAATAAAATATAAGATCTCATAGATGTAGGAATATAGATGGATTAATGAAAAAGTTGAGAAAAGAACCATAGTATTAAATAATGATAAGTAAATGTACAACTGGATTAAAATTAAGTAAATAAATTAAAATTTAAAGAAGAATATATTGATCAAACAATGTAACTAGAATGTATTAATAAATATTTAATACTAATTACTGCTACATAAAATTATGAACGTATATTATGTGAATGTGTGTGTTCAGTACAATTAAACTAAAATATTTTGCTATTTGTCATTTGATCTTTTGAATAAAATATTTCACCATACAATCTATCAGAACTTAATTGTGAATAATCAAATTTATCAATCTTTGTACTTCCTTTTGATATTTAGTCACAGTTAAAAAGGATGCACCCAAAATCAAATTATACAATTTACCCATATTTCACTCTTGATTGTTCAATTTTTGAACACCCGACCCCTGCTGCTCTGGTTAGAGTTTATCCTGTCTAAAATGTCAAGTACAGATAAAATTTTATCTTTTATGAAATTGTCATTAAGCTATCCCAATGAATTAAAAATGTTTGCTTTTCATCAGGAAAATAAGAATACCTATTCATCTGATATCATATTTCCATAAGTGTGTTTCCACCTATGAAACTTATATTGTATATGTATCTGTACTTTATGATGTTTTTATATCTGATTGAAGACCATGATTTACCCATTGCTCTACATTTTCAGGTGTACACACACACACACACACACACACACACACACAACTTGTTAGTTCTGTTTCCCTGGAGAATTCTAATACCAATATTGGTATCAGGAATGAGGTTCTAAAGAAACATAATATAGAATATTTAGGATAAATATTCTAAATTAGTTCTAAGTTTTCTGGAATGTGCTTTCTAATCTGCTTAGAATTAACAACATTCCTAAAAGGAGCACTGATAGTCCATGGCATGAAATAGCAATAGAGATAGACAAATTATCATCATCAAATACTTCAATCAAACACTCATAAGAGGCAAGGGTCTAGGTGACAATGTAGAGGATACTTTTGAGCATTTTTGTTATTAAAAGAAATCTTTATATCCTATAGTCAAAGAGTTGAGATTACTGAAAACAAGAGGCAGAATTCGATTCTGTCAGTGGATGAATGCCAAAGCAAATCGAATTTCCAAACTCCTATGGTGCTACAGGTAAAGAAAGAACATTGGTTGGGAAGAAATCGGGTCCTGAAAATTGGAACGGGAATATATGGAAGGACTCTTAATGAAACTGATGTCATAAAACACCTAAATTCTGGTGAGCTTTGTTTGCCAGTAGAAAGAGCCTCTCTGTCCTGAGGAAATTAACCCTGAATTTCCTGAAGAAAATATAACAACCTTCCCTGAGGCAGTTCCTTTACAAGATAGTGGTGATTTTCTTCAGGGCCTTAGCTATGTATCTTCAATATTTATGTAAGTGGCATTTGTGTTTGTTACACCAAAATTTTGACATAGTGGGTCAAATGAATGCATCTGTTGATAATAAAAATCAGATTACAGGAAACAGTTGCCACTAACAGTTGAAAACGCCATACTTGGAATTCTGGAAAATTACAAAACTAGTTTTAAGGGTTATTATGGAAGTTATGAAGTTTCTGGTACACGTATATATAAATGTATGTGTGTATGTTGGTGTGTATGGGTGTGTGAATAACTTGTCTATCAAGAAAAAATTTATTGTTTATATTGTTGTATAACAATAACCATAGCATTTACTCAATTAATCGCCTACCTGTACACTTTGTAGTTTATAGGACGGATCTCTTGATCCAATATCCTTCTCAGTATATAAGGAAACATCCGCTTTCTTATGTTTTACTTGATAAATCAAATGTTCAAAACCAACTGAAGACTCCAGGGGTTCAATTCCATAACTAACATTCTCAAACTGTAGTAAGCCCCTACAAATTTTTTTTTTAAAAAGTTAATAAATATAATAATGCATTGTGGAAAAGTCTATATAAGGGTACTTTTGCTTTTTTAATGGTATGTAGATTATTTTTAGTCTTAGAATTAGATGATAAAGTAGGAGGAGACAGTTACTGAGTATTCACCCACTTACTGAGTAGCTCGGATAACAACGGTGTTAGTACCTACCTAGCTATTACTATTTCATGGCCTCCAAATACATTAAAAAATCTTAATTCAGTATAAGGGTAGGAATATTAGTAAGTACTCCTATACTATGTTTTGCAATGGTAGTCTTCCCATAATAGTTATGTCTTATTTTAGAACCATTGATATTATTTTTAAATATTTAAATAATTTTAAATGACTATTTCATTTTATAATCCATAAAATTATATATCACAACCTGAGTCCAGTACATGTGCTAATTATCGCCACCGAATCTGGATAACCTTCAATATACCCTTGGTAGTAGCAGAAATTCTGAAAGATAAAGGTAAAATATATGTCTATCACAATAGTTCATGCTAAAGATATTATTTCAAATATTTAATATGTGTTTTTGTTTGTACACATCAAATATTCATTGTTTCCAAAATGAACTTATAAGATTATCAGATGAGCATCTGTCTAAGTTTTCCAAAATGTCCCAAGTTCATAAAAAGTATACTTTCATTTTTTTCATATGTTATATATTAAACTTGACATTCTGGAATAAATTGGAATAAAACAGTCATCATCAAAACATGTCATACTCTTCTGACTTAACTATTCGTGGTGGAAAAGAAAACTTCAACAAAATGTTTAATTTGTACATTTCTCTTGGAATTTTTATTAGCCTTTGTGTTATATTCCATCTTCCTACTTTAATCCCTAAAATGTTAATTTTCATCACTTTCCAAAAACCATACTCCATCCACTCAATAACCTATATTTATATCTCCACCATACTTTAAAAATTTATGTAAAATATCTATGCTTTTATTTTTTATCACCAACTATATGCTATAACTGATACTTAAATCACGAAGGTTAAAATATCGTTAACTTTCCAGCAGCTTTTGTCTCCATCCTTTCAAATGTGAATTATAAAATCCAGATTGATAACATTTCTAATTCTGTGGAACAGTCAGCAGGAAATATCAAACTTATACATGGGATGATATTGGAAAAGTTAAAAATGAATAAATAAGTCACTTTTAAGTCAGCAAATGATAAAATTTTTATGGAGGAATTAAAAAGTTTCACTTATTACTCAACCTCCTTCAGTTTTTTATTTTTAATCATTGTCTTCCACTGTTTGCCTTTATTACATCTTATTCAATACTCTATTTGCACTTCAAAGGAATGTACATGTTGTTGCCTTTGTGTAGTCTTCTATAAATATGAATTAAATCAAGTTGATTGATAGTTCTGCTCGGTCATCAACATACTTGACATACTTGCTGAGTTTTCTCAACTTAATTATCAGGAGATAAATGTTTGAATTTTGAATTATAATTATTATTTGTATATTTCTTCTTCCATTTCTTTCAGTTTCTGCCTTCTGTAACTTAAAAACTGTTTTTATGTGCACACATTTTAGATTGTTATGACATCCTGGTAATTTTACCTTTTAACCATGATTACTATCTGTTTGTACCGGAAAAATCACAAAGTCCAGGACAATGATGAATCATTTTCACTTGTTCTGCTCTGGACACTGGGAATAAATTGTTTCCTTGCCTAACTGGCTGTCTTTTTGTTTCTTTGTTTCTGTATATGCTTCTATATATAATACAATTTTAGAGATGGAAATTCTTTGGGGACTTTAGGAAAAATAAATAATTTAATAAATATACTGGTTCCCAACCTAATTTAATAAACTATTTTCTAGAATAGAGACAGGCCTGCAACTTTAGCAAACATAAACTATGTCACTACATTATGATATAGTATATATATACACAAGATCAACAATCAACAATTTACCATATTCATGCCATTAATAAAATAGTTATTGCTTGATCTTTTTAATTGTACATTTATCTCTCATGGCTACCTCCTGGGAGGTAGGAAGCGGAATTATGGTAGAATGATACAAATTCTGGTTTATCTAATTTCTTGGAAAAAAAGCTGCTGACCACATTTATTATCTATTATTTTTTCTGTTAAAATCTTAGCATTCGCCTGGGCAACTTGGTGAGACCTCATCTCTACAATAAATCAAAAAATTAGCCGGGCGTGGTAGCACGCGCCTGTAGTTCCAGCCACTTGGAAGGCTGAGGCGGAAAGATCGCCGCAGACCAGCAGGTCCAGGCTGCGGTGGCCGGGAGCGGCCACTGCACTCCAGTCTGAGCGACAGAGTGAGACTCCAATTCAAAAAAAAAGCTTTAATTTCGTAACATTTAATTGATTCATTCTGTAGAAATCAAGAATGTAAATAGAAAATCAGCAATTAGTAGGGCAGGGATAAAGGTTAAAAGAAAAAGAAGCTCGGTGGCTCAGCCTGTAATCCCTATGCTTTCAGAGGCCCAGGTGAGTGGATTGCCTGAGCCTGTGGGCTCGAGACCCACCTGGGCGACTTGGCGAGACCTCATCTCTACAATAAGTCAAAAATTAGCCGGGCATGGTAGCGCGCGCCTGTAGTTCCAGCCACTTGGAAGGCTGAGGCAGAAGGATTGCTGGAGCCCAGCCGGTCGAGGCTGCTGTGGCCGGGAGCGTGCCACTGCACTCCAGTCTGGGTGACAGAGTGAGACTCCAACTCAAAAAGAAAAAAAGAAAAAGAACACTGTAGGCATGAATAGTCCCTGCAATTTTATCCACACTTCTTTACCTTTTCACAGCAAATTACAGATATTATTCAATGAAGTTCTACGGATTCCAAATATATGAAAATGTAATATACTTCTAAATGTGCATGAAATTTCATGTGTACTTATTTGGTGCTTGAACATGCTTCAAAAATGGCTTTGAACTATATTTTTCTTCCTATATTTAGCTTTCTTGTGTCAAATTATGGCTTTTCATAATATATTCAACCCCTGATGCCTCAGGTACATCAGCACATACGTGGATGTCATTCTGAAACTATTTGTTTAAAATGTCACAGACATGCCTTGTTTGTTCATCATCTGTTTAATAAGGCTAAGTCAGAATTTATCATCAAAAGGAAAAGATTAAATTCTTGCGAAAACACACCAACCCTTTGTACTCCAATAACATGTGAACCCTAAAGGTGTTAATCATGGAAACTCACATGACAAAAGTAAAATGGACAATAAAAAACATACCTGAAAATCTTGGTTAAGAGGTTTCATAATTCCTGTGCCATTATAACCATAAACTCTGAAATTATGAGGTACAAAAGTTCTGTAAAATAAAGATAAATTCTGTAAAATAAAGTATTTAGTGAAAAAAAGTTTCCTGAACTTTTATTTTGGAAAAGATGTATATTTGATTAGTTATGGGCAGGTAGTTTGGCATAAAAAGAGAGCAATAGAGAGAGATTTTTCTGAAAGTATAATTTTTTAAAAATTGTACTTAACAATGTTAGTCTTGAGACCTGTCTTTATTCACTGTATTGTCACATTGTCCCTAGCTGTTTTTCAAACACAATAGGAAAGTTTTTGCACTGGTTGTTGCCTCTTCCTGGGACATTCTGCAACATAGTTAATTGTCTCATCTACTTCAAGTCTTTGCTTATATATTAACGTCTCAGGGAAGATTATCTTGACAAATTTATTTAAAAATCCAACTTTTTCAATTTCCAAAGCATAAGACTTCTAAACCCTACTCTTAATTTGCTCCAATTTTTTTCCAAGCATATATCACCTTCTAACATTCTTCATACTTCATTTAATAATTATATCATTTTTAGTATCTTCTAATGATAATATGAACTCAAAGATTTCTATCTATTTCATTTACTAACACATGCCATGCACTTAGGAGGCTATCTGGAAAATATCAAATGATCAGTAAATATTGAGCTTATATGACCTAAAATTAACAGGTTAAATCTCCAAGATTTTACAAAGATTTGATTTGCAAATATGAAAAAAACATTTAAAAATTAGCTCTGTAAAGAAAAAGCCACATGTTCCAGTGTAAATAAGCAGAATGTTTGGTGGTCATGCAGGACTTGAGTGAAAATAATGAACATGTTGAGGCACAACAAATATATAGCTTTTCTCCCTGAAAAATTCTAGCAAAAGTTACATAAAGAGCCAAGTTTGAAAATCTCTGAAAATCAGAGCAAATACTTTTTTCAAAATTTATGATACAGTATCAAAAAGTTGCATGTAATTCAAGCTGAACAAGGGCAAATAAAATTAAATGCACATATACAAAAGAATGAACTTGAACCCTTATCACACACAATATTAAAAAGTTATCTCAAAGTGATTTAAATACTTGACCATAGTACCTGAAACTGGGACACTAATAGAACAAAGCACAGAGAAAAATCTTCTTGATGTTAACTTTTTTATAAATATACCATCAAATAAAAAAAAACAACTAATAAAAACCAAGATAAAATCTTTCAAGTATCAAGAAAGAATATGAGAAAAGATGCTGGAGAAAGAGAAATAATACTGACAGTTTCCTCATCAACAGAAATGAAAAAGTAAAAACATAATGGAATGATAACTGTTTTTTTTCTTGAGTTGGAGTCTCGCTCTGTCGCCCAGACTGGAGTGCAGTGGCCGCTCCCGGCCACCGCAGCCTCGACCTGCTGGGCTCCGGCGATCCTTCCACCTCAGCCTTCCAAGTAGCCGGAATTACAGGCATGCGTTACCACGCCCGGCTGATTTTTTGATTTATTGTAGAGATGAGGTCTCGCTGCCCAAGCGGGTCTCGAACCTGCGGGCTCAGGCAATCCACTCACGTCAGCCTCCCAAAGGCGCGGGATTACAGGCTGAGCCACTGAGCCCGGCTGGAATGATAACTTTAAAGGTTAAGGGTGTTTTTAGAAAGAGATCTTAAATGTCTTTTAAAGAGACATTCTAGAATTTTTGCTATTGCGAATAAAACTGCATGCCAGCAAAAGCGTTTTAAGAATATGGGTAAGTGGTTCCATATGAATTTTAGAATTTTTTTTTTTCCATTTCTGTGACAAATGTCATCAGAATTTTGATAGAGATCACATTGAATCTGGAGATTGCTTTGGGTACTATGATCATCTTTCTATTTATTTGTTGTCTTTAATTTATTTCAACAATGTTTTATATTTTTCAGTTTACAGATATTTTTACTTTTTGGTTAAATTTTCCTGATAGTCCAAACAATCTGAAGCAAAAAGAACACAGCTAGAGGAGAAGAACATAACTAGGGGAATGAGACTACTTGATTTCAAAATATATGACAAAGCCACAGAAATCAAAATGACATGGTATTGATATAAAAACACACATAAATCAATAAAATAAAATATGTATCAGAGAAAAAATCTACATTTACTATTAACTGATGTTTGACAAAGTTGTCAAAAAGAGAATGAGAAAAGTAAAGTATCTTCAATTAATCATATTTGCAAAATTAAACACACACACACTAAAGAATGAAACTGAACCCTTATCTCACGCCATATTAAAAAGTTATCTCAAAATGGTTTAAATACTTAACCATAGTACCTGAAACTGGGAAACTACTAGAATAAAACACAGAGAAAAATCTTGACATTGCTTTTTTTGTTTTTGTATATGACTCCAAAAGGTAACAAAAGGAAAAATAAACAAATAGAAAACTATAAAACTGAAAAGCTGTACAGCAATGAAAACAACACATGGATAGTGAACCCATAGAATGGGAGAAAATATTTGCAAACGATTCATCCAACAAAGGACCAATATACAGAATATACAAGGCACTCAAACTCTTCAGTAGCAAGAAAACAAATAAACCTATTAAAAATGGGCAACGGACTGAATAGACTTTCTCAAAAAAAGACATACAAATGGCCTACAGGCATATTTTTAAAGCTCAATACCATTAATCATCAGGGAAATGCAAAATCAAAGTCATAGTGAGATAACACATCACTTCTGTTAGATTGGCTATTATCAAAATGACACAAGATAGCAAGTGCTGGTGAGGATATGGAGAAAAGGGAATGCTTACACACTGTTGAGAGGCAGTGTAAATTAGTACAGTGATTACGAAAAACAGTAAGAAGGTTTCTCAAAAATTTGAAAATAGAGATTGGACTAAGATGGCCAATGAGAAGCAGTTACAGTGTATTTCTCTCATGAAGTAATCCAAAATATAGTGTTCTCAGCACTGAGAAAGAAACTGGACCAGCAACCTGCCCCACAACTCACCAAAGAAGCAATAATATCCACAGAGTACAAAAAAAGAGAAAAATCAATCGCCCTGGGTTAGAACTAGCCCAAGTCATATGGAGCAACACACTGCAGCCACTAGACTCAGTGAGGGAGGTGAATGAAAGAAATGTAGGAATTCTGTGCTCCTGTCATGGACTTGGAAGATACCCCAGTCTCTCCAGACCTCAGTCCCTCAAAGGAAACTAACTGCCTTATCAAATTTGTGCTTTGCCAAAATCCATGTGGAATGGTGCAGTGAAGAAAACCCCTGAGCAGCTCCACAGCTCCAGCCACCACATCCAGGGGAAATCAACCCTTGCTGGAAGGTGCTATCTAGTCAGCCTGGCAGAGAATGGACCCCAAAGTCAGACTCCAGAGAGTTCTTGGATGGAGCCGTCTCACTGGGAAGACTTGGGGCCAGCTTCATGTTTACAACCTGAAAAAAGACTAAGTCTAAGGTCAGGGAGCTGGGTGGGACTCATTGCCCTGCCAGCCTATCACTCCCCAGATAAATGCTTCTATGTAGTTTCTGCCCAACATGCCACATTATCCCAGTGACCAGGGACTCCTTCCCAGTCCCCACTGGGGTAGCCAATAGTGCTTATAGGTGGAGAGCTTGAGGTCAGCGGGTACAGCTCGTTACATCTGATGTTAATACCTCAGCTTTGAGGAAGTTCTGGTCCCAATCTCCAGCTAGTGCAGCCAGTCAAGCCACCCTGAGCACTCAGCATACTTTGAGCCTGTGAAGGTATCCAGCACAGCACTTTCACAGTTGGCAATTGAGAAACTCACTAAACCAAGGCTATATAAAATGAAGGGAACGTTATAGTGCCTATGGTGGCCCCCTGCCAACCTTGGAGAAGAATACATAGTTTACCCAAATGAGAAGGAAAAAAAAAGTAATTCTGACAATATGATAAAACAGAATTCTTCAACACTCCCCCAAAAACCACACTAACTCTTCAGCAATGGACCATAATAAAATCTTTGAAATTTTAGAGACAGAATTCAAAAGATTATCTATGAAATTGCTCAATGAGTTTCAGGAGAAAGATGGAAACCAACATAAAAAAACAAAAGAATTCAGGACATCAATGAAAAATTCTCCAAAAACAGAAGACACCCCTCCCCCCAAAAAAGCTGTACTTCTGAAAAATATAAGAGTCATTTAGGAAAGTACAGTAGACTAGAACATAAATAAGGTACTATTCCATTCATCATTCCGGTTAACTGCTCCTGAATAATCTTTGGATCAATAATGAAATAAATATGGAAATTGTAAAATTTCTTTAAATGAATGACAACAAGAAACAAGTTATCAAGATCTCTGGGACACAGCCAAAGCTGTGCTCAGAGGAAAATTTATAGTGCTTAAGACCTACATTAATAAGACTGAAAGATCACATATTGACAACCTAACATCACATCTCAAGGAACTAGAAAAGCAGGAACAAACCAAACCCAAAACTAGCAGAAGAAAAGAAATAGTGAATATCAGAGCAAAATTAAATGAAATTAAAATTTTTAAAAATACAAAGGATCAATGAAACAAAGATTTGGTTCTTTGAAAAGACTAAAAAAACTTATAAACCACTAACCAGATTAATTAAGAAACAAAGAGAGAAGACTCAAATTACCTCGATCAGAAATGAAAATGGAAACATTGCAACTGATATCACAGAAACACAAAAGATCATCCAAGATTACTAATAACACATCTATGCAAACTAGACAATCTAGAAGAAATGGATAAATTGTAGAAAATATCCAACCCCCACCCCACATCCTTGAATCAGGAAGAAATAGAAACCCTGAAGAGACTAATATCGAGTGGTAAGATTGAAAGAGTAATTAAGTCTCCCAACAACAGCAAAATAGTACAGAGCCTGACAGGTTCACAGTCAGGTTCTACCAGACTTTTCAAAGAACTGGTACTAATTTTACTGAAGCTATTTCGTAAGACTGAAGAGAGTAAATTCTCCCAACTCATTTTAGAAAGTCATTATTACCCTTATTCCATAGCCAGGAAAAGACACAAGAAGAAAA